AACAGTAGGCCTAGTGCTAAAATTTGGCCGTTTGACCAAATTTTGTCGCTAAAAAACAGCTCTCCTCAATTTCTTGAGGAGAGCTGTTAGTAGCTCTCCTGCTTTTTCTTTAAATCAAGGTCTGATTGATGTATCGTCTTCTCCATCTGGTCGTTTACTTAGATAATTCTTGAGCCCCCACATCATTATCGCTTGCTTTTTCGGTGTTCCATCTGGATTTGGTCCAGAAATTACCCGTTTACCTGGGATGCACTTGGAGTCTTTGCGCCTCCTATCATTCTGAAATCTATACTGGATACGCTGCCTCCACAAATTCTGAAAATAAGCAATTAAATGATTTCATAAACACCAAATTATTTAATTGCTTATTACTCAGCAGGCTCATACATTTGATTTCATTCTAAATTCCGGTATATTCTATGTGAAATGTTTTAAATTTCAAGGACAATCGTTTGTTGACACTTGTCTACAAGTTTGTAAATACATATACCAAACAGACATAAATTGTAAATTTTATCACATGTGAACAATGATTGTGTACGTTACGTTTGATTTCTAACCTATATTTTCAATTATTATGAAAATATGTAAAATTCAACGGCATTCCAGGACAAGCAATACACGCCATCGTGAAGATTCGATATTTCATTACAACAATTCCAGGACAATTTATATCATTTTTCCAGGAAATTCCAATACTGGAAAATAGCAATCCATCTTTCAAGGATGTTAATGATTCTTGACAAATTCCCCAAATATAAATACTGTAAGAGCATTCTGCACAAACTCTTACCTTTGCAAAATTGTCACCTGTATTCAGCTTCGGAAATTTCTCAAGAAATGCTGTTACAATTTCTGTGTACTGCCATTCTTTAGGATAACTTAAAAAAAAGGTAACATTTCATTACTTATGTACAAGTACATGTACACATGTCTACATCAGGGCATGCAGAATCAGTTGCCTTTGGTCTCGAGGCAACCAAAAATTTACACAGGGCAACTAAAATTAAAGGGTCGGTTCCGACGGGCAACTAATAAAGTCTAAAATATGCCAACGGCCATCAACTATCTGATCAAGTCCAGCCTAAGATGGTTGATCCTTGGCTGAAATAAAATATGAAAGTCACAGGACCGTTGACTAGCTACAGTATAAGTGATAACAACACGTGTATTACTTAACGGTAACTTCGGATCAGCCAACTTGTCAAAGAAATGACAAGTTCAAATCTAGTTAAAATACAATTTGTAAAGTTAATTTGGGTTAAAAAGTACGGGACATAAAAATTGATAGGAATAGCATTGAAAAATATGGTTAACAATCATTCCTAAAATAAATGATTATATTATATAATTGACAGTACTTACTATGTATATTTTGTAACTTCATTATAGATGGCATCTGTCACCTGTGAGCGATCAGCCCTGCTTAATTGTTCACCACTTTCCAGTTTCTGGACCACTCCTGCTCGTAAAGCATATGCAGGGAATATAAACTTGGTTGGCCAAGGACGGGGTAATCGAGTGGTTGTTGCTGTAGATAAATTACAACTTGAAGAAAAAAAAATGCATAAAACTTCAAATTCTGGTTTTAATAGAATCGAGTTAAAGTCCTAAATACGACATAAAATAGTCCAAGAATACAAACATATTTATGGAGCACGGTTTAAGCTGCCACTAGCCAAATAGCATTTGTATTTTTTAGTTGCCAAATTATCCAAATAAGTAAGGGATTTTCATCTAAAGTTTTTACATAGAATGATTTCGATAGATTTTTGCTCATCAAACTTCAATTTGGCTATATAAATTTAAATCTCAATTTGCTAAAAAACATTTTCTTCCAGCTTAATTACTGATGGGGTATCATACTCCCTCGTGTGGGAGCACACAGAGAACAATTCTTTATATACAAATGAAACATGTTAATTTAATGAGGAATTAAACTGGTCTGTAATTTACAGTACAGTATGCAACTTATTTAATATATTGAACCC